AAAAAAAAACCTCTAATTTGAATTAATGATGAGCTTTGGCTGGGTGCACCTGTTGCATCCTAGTGTCAGCTACTGGTCTTTGTATGTTAGAGGACAGAATTTGCTTGTTTTCAAAGAATAGCTGCAACTAGGAAATCGTTTCATATCAACATGTTTCAGTGTGATTTGTTTGGGTGCCTTTTGTGCATTGTCTAAACTTAAAAATGTGAATAACTTCCTTCTCTTTTTTCCCCTTTTAGATTACTGGGATTGCCAAGAGCTAAAATGCTGCATGCCTACAATCCTAGTAGAGATAGGGAAGTTGTAGTGAATTCAGTGTTTACAGCTTCTAGGCAGTTTCATGTGTCTCCTGTACATAGCCAGGTGAGTGTTGATGTACTTTTGGAAAATACATAATGGCCAAGTGCGGAGACCTTAATGCTTTCTTTAGTCTGAACTTTTAATTCCTTTTTTTCTTTTTGTGCTTTTTTTTTTTGACCTCCAATTTTTTTCTGGTTTCGCTAGCACTTTTCTGCTTATTTTTACTGAGACTGGTGAGGGAGAAGAGATTCAAAACGTACCGTAGAAAATGTGTTTTACAGAAAGAAAATAACTGTTCAGTGTTAAATCAACTTCGTCTCATTTCTTTATTTGCAGCATTATGCAGTCATCCACAAGTATGTGGGTGTTTATTGGTGTTTATTGTTGTATTGATAGATTTGAGAGATACGGGCAGGTGAAACTTTAGTGCTGAGGTTCTGCGAGCGGGACCTACAGATACAGCTGTGTGTGTGGAAATATCTGTGGGTGAGTAGTGGGTGTTCTAACTAACTGCACTGAACAAGCAGCCTTCTTTGTGGTCTCTGTAGGTGATTCCAGCTATGGGAAAAGCTTCATTTAGAGTGCTTTTTCTGCCAGCAGAAGAAGGCAATATTGAAAGCTCATTATTTATAAATACCTCATCTCATGGAGTTCTTTCATATCAGGTAACTTCACTTATTTTTCATTTGAGTTTTGAATTTGTGTTTTTAAAAGTTGTATTCATACATTCTGAACTTAAAAACAAAAAATAAAAAATCAACTTCAAATGTTTGTTGAATTCCTGATACAAGTCAAGTGAAGTACAGTTCATCCCTTTTGTCAGATCTTGCTGATCTCATGATTCCTCGTACGAGTATGCATTTCAAATTGCTACTGCTAGTGGGGCTATCTGTGGTAGTAGGTATATCTGTATTTGTTTGTGTGTTCTTTGAACATTAGGGTCCTGTCACTGCTGCATGGCTTCATATAATATTGCAGTCCTGAATGAACTGTTCTGGAATTTGTATTTGTCATGCGGGGAAAAAAACCCACCAGGACATTTAAGAAGTGTTTCAGGTGATCTTCAGCTACCTCACAGGTTTTTATGTAAATACGCTGTGAATGCAAAGCAAGGTGAAAGCTTAAGGGCATTATAATGTGAAAATGGAAGTCATGAGTTTTGAATGGAGGCTGTTTACTATCTGATTAATCAGAGAAGAGAGCAAGTATAAAGCTCGTAGGTGTTAAGATTTTTATAAGGGACATCATACATTCCAAATTTTTTTACCTTCATTTATTTGTAAAATAAAAAGTCTGAACTTAAGTCCAGTGACTTAAAAACAATGCCAACTTTAATCAACCATTCAGTTATTCCATTCTTATAGTGAATTAGAAAACAAAGCTCCTTATAAGGAAGCAGAGATAAGTTCACTGAAATATGGATTTTGGAATATGGATATTGTCATTGGCTAGCATATACTAGGGGTGATGCCAAATGTTGAGGGAAGTTTGTTTTTGCTGATGACACCAAGCTGAGTGGTGTGGTCGACACGTTGAAGGAAGGGATGCCTTTCAGAGGGACCTCGACAGGCTAGAAAGGTGGGCCTGGGTGTACCTGATGAGGTTCAATACGGCAAAGTGCAAGGTTTGGCACTTGGGCCAGAGGAATCCCAGGCATCCATACAGACTGGAAGGAGCGGTCCTTGAGAGCAGCCCTGCGGAGAAGGACCTGGGGGTCTTGATAGATGAAAAACTTAATATGAGCCAGCAGTGTGCCCTTGTGGCTTGGAAGGCAAATGGGATCCTGGGCTCCATCAGAAGAGGGGTGGCCAGCAGGGACAGGGAGGTGACTGTCCCTCTCTGCTCTTGTGAGGCCCCATCTGCAGTACTGTGTCCAGGTCTGGAGCCCCCAGTACAAGAAAGACAGGGAGCTGTTGGAGAGGGTCCAGAGGAGGGCCACAAAGATGATCAAGGGTGCTGGAGCACCTCCCCTATGAAGACAGTCTGAGGGAGCTGGGCTTGTTCAGCCTGGAGAAAAGAAGGCTGCAGGTGACCTCATTGCAGCTTTTCAGTACCTAAAGGGAGCCTACAAACAGGAGGGGAATCAACTCTTTGAAAGGGTTGATAACAGCAGGACGAGGGGAAATGGTTTGAAGTGGAGGGAGGGGAGGTTTAGGTTGGATGTAAGGGGGCAATTCTTTACAGAGAGAGTGGTGAGGTGCTGGAACAGCTGCCCAGGGAGGCTGTGGATGCCCCGTCCCTGGAGGTGTTCAAGGCCAGATTGAATGGGGCTCTGGGCAGCCTGGTCTAGCATTAGGTGGGAAGGTTGGTGGCCCTGTATGTGGCAGGGGGGTTAGAGACTGATGATCCTTGAGGTCCCTTCCAACCCTGGCCATTCTGTGATTCTGTGTTATAGAGTGATGACCCTTTTCTTTTTTGTATCTATCTTCTCTTTGCATTCACTCCTGACCCCTTGTTTTTGTTACCTAGCCAGCTCAGTCACGGCCTTTTGTGAACAAGTTGTAGGGAAGCAGTTGCCATTGTCAGAAGAAACTGATTTTCTGGTGTTGGACTGCTGCTAAAATTGATAGCATGTTGTTATTTGTAGACAATTTCACCAGCCATCTGTAGGGAATGTAAGAAGCGGAAGTAACTGTCCATGGTTTCAGCTTGCATTAGGTTTAAGAGTGTCAAAATTGGATAAATCTGTAGTGGTTATACAAGCTATGGCACTCCAGAGAGCTCGAAAGCCTTGAAATACATTTGATATTGCTAACACATTTGTGCGTGACGTGTATGAAAAAGTTGTCCAAATGGAGAAAAAGTAGCACTATAGTGAAATATACTTTGTCAGTGTCTCCATCAAAAAAGGAAGGATCCCAAAAATGTTTCCTTTGATGTGTTGTTTTCTAACCGTAGCTGTCGTAGGTCTTCAGTGAATGCTGTATTGTCCTTTTGATTAAAAACATTGCTGTTTGTGTTTTTTGAATTTAAAAAAGATTTCTTTGCATAAAAGTAAGTGAAAAACCTCAGTGGATTTTTCATAGGAGGGAAAAACAAAACAACCTAAGGTAATCTTACATCTCACTGTCATAAACTAATCTTGACAGGGTGAAATATGAATGCAGTAAAAAAAAAAAAAAAGTAATAAAAAATATAAACTTGCAAATCTTATACTTCTCTGAATATTACAGATTGTTAGAAACAAAATGATCAATATTTTACTTAGTTTTGAAGACAAAGTCATTGAATTCAGAATGCCTTTGGGCTTGGAACAGAGTTTTTCAGAAATTCCCGCATGGCCCAGTGGTGACCATAAAACTGTGAATGCTGTTGTTTGCCCTCTCTCCATTTTAGACGAAGACTCCCATGATGTATAAATATTGTATGCAGTTTTGAAAAGCAGTTCTTTTTTAAGTCATCATTTGTAAAAATAAATAAATAAATAAAAAGTAAAAATGATAGAAATGTCTGGTAGTAGCGTAGCCAACTTGGAAATAGTAGAATTGCCATATTTTGGGTGTTCGCATTGTAATTGCCTGAAGAGCAGGAAGTGTTTAACTGCTCTCTTTCTGAGATAACCTGATGCTGTGCTGGTGAGCATTTTTCTTTTGGATGCAAGTGAGTGAAGATGCTACTGTGCTCCTTGTGCGTATAATTACTTTGCACAGCGGAACTTCTGAAATTATATATGTTGTCTTTTAAAATAATGTAATATTTCCTGAGGTCCTTAGTAGCAAAATAGTACTGTGTATTGCTGTGATAACTGAAATAGTTAATGTTGACATAATGACTCATTTCTATTTTAACAACAGGTTTTTGGAGTGGGAACTCTGACATCTTCTCTGGAAGAGCCTAGGATACAGCTAGCAAATGCCTACTTACTACTTCCACACATTCAGAGCATCCAGGTGTCACAAACACTGGTACAGTAATACATTTCAAACAGAAGTGAAACCTACTTGGACACAAAAGAACTTTGTTTTCAGGTTGTTGGGGTACAAGGAATTTTAAAAGAAAGTCTAAGTGACTGTGGCAGAGAGGTAATGAGATAGATAAGTAGTTCTATGATGAGCTGGTGTTTCTGGTTTTATTGAGAGAAACATCTTTTGGCCTTTAGACTGTTTCCATTTCTGTGTGTTTCTGTGGTGTGTTGTCCTCTCAGTTGTGCTGATAAAACTACTTGTGTTGCCCTCCTCTAAATTAAAGAGGAGAATCGATCTGTTTTAAAAGAAAACAAATTCATTATGTTATTAGAGGACTGGGGAGAGAGAAGCTGAGCAATTTTTTTTTTTTACTTTTCAGTTTTACTTCAGACCCATTTCCCAGGCTGGTTCACAGCTGTGATATGCATGATGTATCACTTAATTAGAAATCATAGCATACTGCATTCTGATGAGAACAAGATTCCAGCTGGAGTATCCCCTCCTACTCCTGTTACTGCTGAAGACATCAGTGCGTGGCTTGGCTGGAACATGGAACTGTGAGGAATAAAACAAGATGGATTTAGGAGGCATAACTACTTAAATTGGAAGAGAACTTTTAACAGTTCCTGAGATTTAGGTGCAGTTCCAGGCTGGGCAGTTTGATTAGATGATCTTAGAGGCCTTTTCCAACCATAATGATTCTATGTTTCTATTTTTGTAGTCTTCTAGGCTATGTAGAAACATTCAATTGAGTAACTATCTGGAAAAATTGATGATTCTGATTTCCTTCAAGTTTTTTCATGGATAAAAACTTTTGAATTACGTGTGGATTTAATTGATTTAAAAAAAAAAAAAAAGAGTATTTTGAATATTTTAGCACGTAACAGAATATAATCTTGTATCTAAGTATAATCTATGTTGATTACCTTCATGGTACCTTCTGTTTTTTTCCTGAGAAAAATTCTCACCTCAGATCTTTTTTTTTTTTTTTCTGTTAAATGACTGAGTAGAAAAGTTTTGGGGAGCGTTTGACATTTGCATTACTGTAATAGTGAGGAGCATTTTCTTCTGCTTTATTTTTCTAGAGTACAAGCTTGAGATCATGCTTGGCAGCACCACCTGGCACCAATCTTGTCCTAGTACACAAGATGCGAGAGAGCATTGACTTGGTTCTCCTAGCTCTGGGTATAATTTTCTTGCCTGGCTATAATTGGAGAATTATTCTTCAGTTCAGTGAATGCTGCCAATCTGGAGAGAAAAGCTGCAGCAGTGGTGCAGGCACATCTGTTGAAGGTGGTAGGCGAGATCTAAATACTGAAAAGAAACTTATGGCTTGAGTTTGAGTCCCATTTGTGGAAAAGATTTCTCTGCAGATAGCTATCTGCTCTAGAAGTGCCCTTTTTAGTTTACCTTACTGATCTGGATCCCATAAAAGCTGGTACGATTCCTTCTTATCCAGCTCTTTTAGGCTTACAAGCTGTGTGAGGAAGAGGTCTGTGAGATTTGAGTGAATATGGACATGCAAACTTAAGGATATGTGAATACTAAACCATGAAGATCTGAGTGAAAGAAAGACTTTAAGGTGAATCAGTCATACCTACAGAACTGCACTCTTGCTTACCCCTGTTTTCTTTTATCTGAGTAAAATACACTGCTAATGTAAGTTCAGGATAGCATAAGCTTCATTTGGATATGCTAAAGATACCCTTGCCTCTTAAGTCTATTGATGCTGCTTGGAAACCTGTGAGGAGGCTCAGTGAGGGCTGTATTGGTGCATCTCTTTTCCTGTCTGTGCCTTTTCTCACTCCTCTAAGGGCTGGAACCTACATCTGACTTCCAGTCTGAATTTTTGTGGCCAATTTGTATTTGTTTGTTGTGATGCACATTTAGTTTCAATAACTGCTCCTGCTTCTGGCACTTAAACGCAGAAGTTTTTTTTTTAGGCAGCATCATCACATCTTTCAGCTTTCCTTTTGCCATGCTGAGCAATCCATCTTGTGGCATCCTTCCTTGTGATGTCCTGGTCATTGCTTAGCCAAGCTGGCCACCCTTTTCTGCAGCTTTTCCAATTTGTAACAATTCCTTTTGAAGGTGAGTGGCCAGAATTCTGTATAATGATATGGGTGAACCTTTTTTTTTTTTCTTTGATTCTTCAGAGCCTAACTGTTGGAAGCATGATATGTCCCTGCAGATTGTAGGTGAAGTAACCTCTGCAGTGGTGTGTGACAGGCTTGTCTCTGCTTTTTGGGAGCAATGAGCTTCCGTGCTGCATTGAATTTGTACTGATTTATTGTCCTCAAATCTGAAAGGGTACTTCTGTCATTTTTCCACATTCTTACCCAGGTCTAAAATGGAAAAGAATGACGAAGTTGCCTCTTCTGCTGTTGAATTTCACCCTCTTTCTCTTACTGTTTTCAAAGTTTCATCTTGAGGAGGGTTTCATAACATGTGCTCTGGTTGAGATGAAAGAAGAGCTGTATCCAACACTGAATTCATAGTGTGCCCACATGGCCATTCAGCAGCAAGTGGTTGCTGCTAAGACTTGACAGATGGTGGTGCACATATAAGTCATCTTTGTTTAACCAGCTTCTGGATAGTCTACTCTGGTTGCCTGTTTTGGGTGTTTAATATTTGCATGGCACTTAGCAGGCAGCCACACCAGTGCTTCATTGTATTCAAAATTCTGTACAAATGTGGAGGTAATGTCAACAGGGGAGTGAAATGCAGGGATGGATGTGTTATCACAGGAGGCTGAGGTATTGCTTTCCTGGCTTTCCCAGAGGAGCTCAAAGCATGTGAACCAGTGACAAGGGAAGTATTGCTAGCACCAACAGTGAACAAAGATTTCTGCTTTGAGCTGGTGAAAAGGAGATGAAAAGCAAATGTGATCAGTGTGATGTTTGGGTGTGGAGAGGGATCGAAAGTAGGATAGCGGAGTTCTCTTGGTGTGGCATCCTGATAACTGCCTGCAGAAAACTGATGAAACTGCTGAATCATTGCTACAAGAGCAGTTCAATAACGCCACTTCAGTTATAAGAGTGGAAATGGCTTTTCAGGATCAGGGACTGTCCAAGAAGGAAAGTAAAATAGCCTTCAGGTAGAAGAGGGAGGCTTGGTTAATGTTTCTTTTCAAATTATAGTAGAGCCAAACTCTAGGATGTGGTTTGAACTCTTGAGTCCTGACAGTAATGCAAGAATATTTCTGAAAATATTGTGGAAATCTTGTATAGAGCCTTGCCTGATTGTTGGCTTATTTGGGGCAGAATAAGGACTGCAAGTGTCTGCAGTTCGGCAAGTACATTAAGCAAGTGCTAATGCCTCGTTATTTAGAAACGCGGATATGAAAGTGTTCTCTCAAGGACCACTGAGAAGGGAATTTTAAGTAACAAGGTTTATCCAACCAAAAAACCTCACCCCAAAAGTTGCTCTTGGTATAGTTGGACTGCCTCATTAGAACTCCAGTTAGAAGGTTTGGCTGTGAGAGGTTACTAAGTGGTACATGCTTTAGAGTCAATTTTTTTTCTTGCTTTCGAAATTGATGAGGACAAGAGAGTTCTCAAAAAGAAACAGCTACTTGGGGCTGATGCAGCCTGGCATGAGCCTTTTTTTGGTGCTACTGACAATCTTTACAGGGTTGGATCGCCCTCTTGTGTGAAGCCTGGGTCATTGTAGTATGAAATCCACTTGAATTAGGGCTGCGCAGTATGTGCTGTCCTTTTGGCTTCTCTGAAACTTCCCTGTGGTATAAATGCTCAGGTGCACCCTGCTCCCTTTGCTCTGTCCCATGGAGATATGAAGTAAGCCTTTGGATACTCAAAAACTGGTTATCCATAGTCCTGCTTCTTAGCATCAAGTGATTTAAATTCTTCAAAAGAAGTTACGGACACCTTCAGAAACTTGAATCTCCATATACCGCATTCAGATGTTGTTACGTATGAAAAGTGGGGTTCCACGTCAGTCTCAAAATCATCAAATAATGTTGCTGTGATTATGTTACTCATAGTGACAGAACTCTCATTATAATTTTTTTTAAATTATTATTTAGAATTGACATCAGTGTACTGGCTGAGCAGTATGTGCAATTAAGTTGACAGTCCAAATTTCTGAGTAGTTTCCATGATCTGTGCTTGGCTTTGTCGCTGCTTAAGAGTGTTTTATAAGCTGGCACACTCAGTGCCCTTTTTTTCCTTTATCTTTCTCATTAAATAAAAAGGTAAAGCATGTACTTTCTGTCTGTCCATTTGTTCACAAAGCCTATGTATCAGACTGTGGGAGTGTGGCATTACATTCTTGGCTTAGCACTGCATTTCAGTGTACAATCAGCAAAGCAAATATACAGAAAATAAAAAAATGAGCATTTGTATTATGCCAAAAAGGCTCTGTTGAGTATTTTGTTGTCTTATCAAAGTTTATAAGGATTGCTCATATTGATGCTATACGGATATTTAATAATCACGTATAATAATAGCTTGATAATTGCTATCTTTCTAATTCCTTTCTAGTGAATTGGAGTTGGATTGCTGACCTACTGTACAGAATATTCATTTTTAAAAACATCCTTTCATTGCTGTGTCATGCATATGTGGAGGCAGTCTTGTTATCTTCATAAATTGTGCTATATGAGCCAGATTTATGTAACATCTTTCAAAGCAATCTGCTTGAGGTGCTTTTCACTTTCTTTTTTTTACAGGCAGAAACGATGAATACCAGCCTCTTCCATGTTCACCTTGAATGCAGTTTACCTAGTGATGCATATCAACAAGTTAAGGTATGTTTTATTATCATGTTCTACCTATTTAAGCTTTCTTATTTTAAGCTAAGATTAGAAGGACGCTTTCCTGGTTTTAGAAGTTGTAGCAACAATGCAGTTTCAGATGATTCAGTTTAAAGAGAATTGTTATTTTAGGCTTTTGTAAAACCGTATCCCATGTTGTAAGTGAAGCGTTACACCCATCATGCTGTCACCATTAGGAGAAGGGGAGATGGTAAAAGAAAACACCTCTCCTTCCCTCCAAAACCCCCAGCTGCCTAGGTGTTTTAATGCACGTCATATTACTTAAATAGAGTATGGAAGCAAAGTGGAATTTCCTTTCTCAATAAACAGTTGCACAGATTTCACATTCATGCTGACATAAGAGCAATGAAATGAGTGTTCAAAATATGGATTGTCTGAGTTGTGTTCTCAAAATACTTGAAATGGGGCTTTGATGTGTGGCAGAGCTGAGGAGGGGTCAGGTTCTTCACAGAAAAACCCCCTCCCAATCTCTGATTACTAAGGGCACTAAACTTCCTATTCACAGGCAGTGCCAGCAGAATCTCACCTTCCTCTTCGTCTTCAAAGGTTCATATAGTAAATAATGGTTCTCAGTGATGCTGGTGCTTGACTAGCTGTTTTGTTCAAATATATAGGCTGGAGCTGTGGTCTGCAGCACCTTTCCTTCATCGGGTGTGACTAGGTCAAGACTTCATAGCCATTTTTTCTGCACAGTGTGCATCACAGTGATTCTGTACTATTCTGTACTGTTATTTCTGTGTTTCACCTGTGCATTGTGTGGTAAATGAGGCTAACTTTGAGATGCATCTGGAAGTTTAAAATTTCACACAGCACAGCTGCCCACTCTGATAGCAGCTATGCAAGGACACAACGCCTGTGGCGTCCTCTGTGCATCTGGCAGCTATTGCAAGCACTGGGGATTTCTGTGATGCTATGGGAGGGGGCTGACATCTAGAGAGGCTTCTCCTCTCATGTTACACCTCAGAGTGACATTTCAGGTTAACTAAAGGTATTTTGCTGTCTTTCACTGGATCACTTCACATGCCTCATGTGGAGGTCTCTTATACCTCCTCCTTGCAGTACAGCAACAGGGCCTGAGCATACTGAGCTCCGTGGTGCGATGCAGGGCAGATTTATGTTACTCTCTGTTGATTGTCTCGTTTTGTTTTGCTTGTTGTCTTTAGTATTTTGTAAAATGGTGTTTGTGTCTTTCTAGTTGCTGAGACTCAGCTGTCTTAACGGCAGCCATTGCTTAGAAAAGGGGATAAGATCCAATTTGTATTGATCTGAAGTATTCTATCCAGATGGCAGTTTGGTATTAAGAATTGTACGTGTGTTTGTTTTTCTAAAATTACTTCAGTGAGAAATGGAGACAAAAAGCACAGGATTTGGAAAAATTAACTATAAACAGACCAGTGAACATGAACTGTCTTCCTTCCATTAAGACACATGCACCAGTCTGTTTATGGCACATTTTATTGAAGTCAGAGGACTTAACAAAGGAAACTGTTTTGCAGTCCCTGAGGTGAGACTGACTAAGACAGTCCATAAATTTGCGTTCTGTCAGGGTTTGATGTTGTTTTTAGTAGTTTTTCGTCTTTGTTTTCCCTGTGCTGTCTGCATCTGCACTGTCCTTGGTTTCTGCTGAGAATTTTAGCAGAGGTCCTAATTACTCCTGCTTATCAGCGTTTCTGTGCTGAAGATCATGTTAGATGATGTCTTCGATTAACTTCTCAAGATACTGCACCATAATGAATGGCTGTGTTCCTTCCCCCCCACACACACGCGCTGTATCCCCTTGTCTTACTCTAGAGTTGCTGTTCTATGTCCGATGATCCAATGCTGCTAGAAATGAGCTTAACGGTAAGAATGGAAAATGCCCAACAAGATTTTGTGGAGCAAAGACAATACTTACTGGAGAATCTTTTTGTAGTTTATGTAGCAGTGGAAAGAACGAAGACCTCAGGTAAGTCCTAAATATGACTGTTAACTGTGATACAATAGATTTTGTATGTATTATGATCAGATGTGCTAAATTGAATCAATTTCAGTGACAGTCTGAATTTTGCAAATAAGGAAAAGAAAATTGGGTAAACACAGCATTAGCCCCTTGCTTAAGGCAAGGTTACTCAAAGCACAGCCCTCTTTGTAAGGGAACAGACTTTAAACTTCATCAGTTTCATTCATATTTTCCCCATGCTTTTACATCTGCTTGAGCAGTGTGAAAAGATTTCATGGTTATTTAATTTCTTCAACCGTTTCTAATTTCCCAGTAACTAAATTAACAATAATAGGCCTATGAAAGCAGAATGGTTTGTACACTACTGAGAATAGTGTATGTTGTGGAAAGTGGGATGATGTGTGCATCGTTTGTTCTTTCAAACTAAAATTCCACAAGCAAAACAATCAACTCCTCACAGTTCTTTCTGCTGTGTTTATTGGATGAACAAATCTTATAAATAAAAGGTTTTCAAGTATTTATAGAGCTTTGGAGTCTGTGCCAGTTCTACTTTCTGGTTGAAGAAGACAAAACTGCTTAAGAATGTAGATTATGATAATATTTTTTTAACACACTAGTGAGAACTGGTGAAAAAAATATGATCTTTTTGTCTTTTGAGAAATTCTGATTAGGGTCTGATCACAGTATATATACTGTTCTCCCCGTGCCTGTTCTCTGATGTGATATTCACACAAAACTGATACCAAAATACCCACTGTAAGCTTATTTTCCCTGCTTGTGGGATGCTGGTACTTTATATTGAATTGTGGATGTATGTTTATTCTGGTGCTGACAGAGAATTTTCACATCTGTCATATCAAGGATGTTTGCTGTTAGTACTTCTGACAGTTAAAGTAGCAGGGGTGTGTTTATAAGGCTGTTCTCTCTTAAATACAGCATGTTTGTAAATGCTCATTGCGTTGGAGTTTGGTTATATAATCCTTTGGACTTGATGTCAGTGGGAAAATCCAAGTTTTTTTCCATCAGTACTAATTTTTTTTACTGTAAATCAAGAGAATGACACAATATTGTCCTTTTGTGTTAGCCTGTAGCTACTTATGTACTTTAAGTATAAGCAAAGGCAAGAACTCAGGCCTCCTTTCATGGAAGAATTAGGACCACCCTAGTGAAATAGCTGTCTTGTGGCCTTTTCCAGGTCTTTGTAGCATCTTGTGACTGGGAACAGAGCTTCAGCAGGAGCAGGGGTGGTTACCAGTACTTCCATTCCAACCTACTAGCCAGTGAAAGCTGGGTTATATTCATCTGCTGTTGCTCTGGGTAGCAAATGGACAGGTGATATCCTATTACCTGTTCCTATTTTAAGCCCAAAAAGTGCTAAATGCTGAATGTGGCTTTGCAAGGACAGCTGTTGCATGGAATGCTTTTTAAATTTAAATTAGGACTGCTTCTAATGTGAGTGTCCTACTCAGCAAGAGTGCTTCAATCCCTGGTGAGCTTACCTTAGTTTTCATTCTTTTGAGCAGGTGATTTCATGGTGGATATGTACGTCTTGCATTCTGGGAACAGCCGTGTGCACATACAGGTAATTATAGGCTTCAGGTGGTTGTATTTTAGGGTGTTGGATTTGATTTGAGAATTAATTAGACATCAGGCATAATAGCAGATTGAGCTTGTTGGTGGCAAATACCACATTTCTATATTTCTAAATTGCGCCCAGGCATCTAGCAGGTATCTTAGAGGATCTACATTTGGTTTGGTGATGGGTGTTTCCTTTTAAAGACATGAGTGTGACTAACTTGAATAAAAATCCAAGGGCTCTGGCTTAAAAGTTGTGAGAAAATTGCAGATAATGGCTTGGAAATGTGACAAGAAGATAAACTAACACTGGAGCTACAATAATAATCACAGTTGTACTGCAGGGTTCATTGTGTCTTGTCCTCCTGCAGGAAATAAGGCAGTTGTCACAAAAAGACAGAACACCTGTGAAATTTGAGCCAGTACTGCTGTCTTCATCATCTACTAACTTTACAAAAGTTGCTTCTATTTCTTGTGAAGGTACAGTATGCATATATTTATAGGTAATGATTAGGTAGAGTTTGATTGTAAAAAACAAACAAACAAAAAAAAAGTAGCTTTTTTTTTTTAGCAGGTAGACTTTGAGAAAAATTTTTTGAGGTGCATAAATTCATTTTGCCAGTCATTTCCACCATTTTGTGTATATATGCTGATTTTTGTGCTGATTTAAGACTCTATAAGCAATATATAGTTTTCAAAAAGGGGGAGAAAACATTCACTGAAATTATTAGCTGATTTTAAAATAAGCATGATTATTGACTGTTCTTTTTCAACATCCTTTTATAATTGGTGGTTTTTTTCCGTTTCCAATGTATTTTCTGAAAGACTATTGCATTTGTGTGATCATTTTCTATGACATTTCTTGGCAAGGTCAGTGAAGCTGCTTTTGCCTGAGACTAGGCATGGTGTGGAAGAGCAAAGATTAAAATAGACGTTTTTGACTGCAGCCTGTTTCTTGTTCTGACCACTAGACTGCAGTACGTAAACTTACTGTGTTACTGAAACAGGCTGTTTTCGTAATGACTGGACGCTTGTTTTTCCTAATCAAATAAAGTCAAGTAAGGAGAAGTGAGGGACTACATTAAGTGGTTTTTTTTCTTATTTTCAGAAGGCTTTTGCTGAAAGGAGGCAGTGTGTTACAGTAAATGAGAATGCTCTGCTGGTGACACATCGTTAAGATAGGTCAGGTTACTCTTAGCAGCCTTGTTGCGTGCTTTTTGGAAGTGTTGGGCATTTAAAATTCTTAAATTGATGTTTCGATCCTCTGAGAATTAGAACATAGCCACTTAGTTTCTTTTTTCACCTGCGTGAAAAGTGAATGTTCCCCTTTGTAGTGTTCTTTGAAGTCCTCGTGTGAAAACCATTGCAGATGTGCATTTATTCTGCTGGCTGATGGTGTGTTCTCTTTGTGTTTCTGTTCTTTACCCAGCTGCATTCTGTGACGATGCAAGGCCTTACTCTAATGACAAGAGGAATGGCATAGTGGAAGGCACTACAGCACTACAAGCCTGCCTTTCCTGCCCTGTGATGGAAGGGTAAGTTAGGAGTGGACTGTTGTTTGTCAGCCTTTGTTGATATTACACAAATATTGTAGACTACCTTTAGACACTAAGTTAGCTTGCTTTGTCATGGAGTGCTTTCTAAGGACAGCAAAGATGCTTTTTCCTGTTGTTGCTGTATCATTTGCCAAAACAGAAAGGTGACATTTCAAATAACAAGCCTTGTATTTTTAGAGGAATAGTTTCAAGAGGCATTTTTAAAAAATGCCTTAACAGCTTATATCATATAAGCGTTGCTTGGAATCTGTGATAATATTTGATAATATTTCCTTGTTCTTCCAATGCAGAAGCAGAATAGTGATAGAAAAATCAGGAAACTCTTCAGTTTTCTTTTGCCAATTTCACCCCAGCTTACCTTTGTGTTAAACAAAGCAGTAGGTGATGTTGTATTATGACATATGTAAGTATTCTAATGGAGACTGCTTTATCCTTAAAACCTTAAGACAGCCACTGTTCAAGAACAGTACAGTTATTGTGTGGACTGATTGTGCTCAGGGACAATTGCAGTTGTATTTATTTTTATTCTGTATTTACTTGCAGGTATTTTGATATCGATCCTTCTGCAACAGTGTTTCATATTGAACCACACCATAATATTTCAGGATTTTGGTCCATATGGTTTACAAACAACTTCGATTTCAGCATTGAACTGGATGAAGTCTACATATCTGGAGAAACAAAGAACATCTTAAAGGTGAGTTTTATTTCAGCTTCATGCAGTGCTTTGTCCTTGATTTGAGAATTTGGTGACATACAGTACATTATTTGAAAGACTCTGTGTTCTCAATGCTAATTGAAATTGGTTAAAAATAAAAGTAGCTCTGTGCCTGTAACTTAGGTCCTGAAAAGCCCATGCTCTCAGTAGATGTTATTCACTGTCCAAGTTGCTTGCTTTTGTTTTGCTCATTAGAAACTGTTTTTTAATTTCAGTTGCAGCTACAGATGCATCAAATTATAGACCACTGCTCTGTTCTGTTGTTCTTGTTTGTGCTCTATAGGACTAAGTGTTTCTTCATTGGCTGCACTGGAAATCTTTAGTACATAGATGAGCTTTGAATTTTAATAGTCAAAATCAGTAATTTACTTGTGCAATGGCTTGATTCAATCCAGACAAAACAGATTTATGAATAAGCACGCAATGTAGGCATCTAATTGGCCATTTGTATATTGAGATAGGAGGCTTTCGTGTGCACACTGTATGAATGCTTATGGGCACGTGTGTTTTAACAGCAAAATCAGAAAGGCACTGCTTGCTCTAAAATACTGTTCTAGTTTTAATTCAAGTGTCTTTTGGCTCTTTCTAGATTCTGAACTTTGCTGGGCCTTTGACCCTATCTCCAGGCTGTTGGAATGTATTTTCTTTGAAACTTGATGTGAAAAACAATGTAACAAATGTGCTTTCTAGTATTTGTCTGGCCACCAGTGTGGGAGTGATGATTGAAATACCTCTGCAGATATTTTCAACTGTGTCCAAGGTATTGTATTTAGTTGTGCTGAATGATTATTAGGTGCTGCAGATCAAACTGTAGCAGCCTGCTTCTTTGGTCAGAAATTTGCCTCTTAATCCTGAAAAAAAAACTAATTCTGTAGCTGGAAAGTTAAACCCTCAGTATTAAAAAGTGGTGGAATTACATTTCTCTGGGCAACCTGAATTCTCTTCCTTGTCTCATCCAAATTATGCATTAGGAAATAAAAATTTCTCCTGTTTGTCTTTGTTTTGTTTGCTTTTATCATATAGTCAGTGGATTGTTTTGGTTTGTTTCTCCAGCAGGCAGACCTTCATTTTGAAGCCATTGCCCATTGTGATATTCAGTGTTACCTAGGAAAGTCTGATTCAGGTAGGCTTGTCTTGACTTTTTAAAGCATGCAATGATAGTTCTGTAGCAGGGCTTATATTGAGAATATTGAGATTGTTAGTACAAGTCCTATATTCTTTAAAAACATATACTTTTCTGAGACCATCACCCATATAGTTGGCTCTGAGTAACATGTTGTATGTATAGTATGCAATATTTCAGATCTCTAATTCCATAGTACTTAATAAACTATTGTTCTGTTACAACACAGTTTGGACTTAACAATATTTAAGACTGTCCTGTAAGTTCTTAATGGAGGTGTATTGCTCCTTGCTTTCTTCTTGTCACATCCTTTAGAGGTGATCAGGTACAATGATTAAGCTGTCAACTAGCTCAAGGAGAGTTTAGAAAACGTGCGTCATCTGGACCCAGGTCCTGGAAATTCTTGCTGAAAAAGCAAACAAACAAAAAACAACCATGTTGACCAATATCCTGCCTTTAGCCAGAGTTAAATTTGAATGCCTTCTCTGTGCTTCTCATAGCAATAATTTCATAGGTTCTTGCAAAAGACCAATTATCAGCCTTAAAAAACAATACCAAAAGCTGTGTTCTAGTAAAACAAAGTAATGATGCTTCTCTCTCTGCAACTGAGGAGTCTCAGGATAGCTCCCAGTGTTGCAGTGTTTTAAGTACCAACTTGGCATTTGGAAACAATGTTAGATGATATATGGACACGGTTCTGCTTGAAGAATGTGTAATTTGATGAAGGCTGATTCAGAGTAGTGCATTTTAAATTTTTTTCATTTCTTCTTAAGGAATTTCACTAAAAAGCTGGGTAGCACAGGCTTTAAATGTTTGTGTCCTCCTGAATGTATTTTCAAGGTGATGCTTTCTTAAAATGTGTTTTTCTACGAGGTTTTGAAGAGGGCACTAATAGTCAGTCAAAGATTAGAAAGAGATTTCAGGTGACAAGTATGTGGCTTGAGGAATTACTGATACATAGGTACATCTTGGAAAACATCTTCAAAGCAAAAGATATTTTAAAATAAAATTGAGTAAAGAATATTACTGATATAAGTAAGTATTCAATGCTTTCTTACTTTCCATTCTAATAACACCTGTAATCAGATCTTTTTTGGGGGTATTCTACTTCATAATTTAGGATACTCACACATTTAAAATAGAAAAGTCTAATGCACATGCCTGAAAATACTGACCTGAACAACCTGTGGTTGGCTTATTCAATTTGTCATCAGTCTAATTGGATATTTTAAGCACTGAGGGGCTGTGCAGTAAGTTATATTTTGTACTTTCAAACTAACCTGGTTTGGTTTTCTTTTGTAGAGTTCTGTGTAAGGGCTACTGATAATATAATGACTTTTCAATAACAATTGTTAGAAACAGCAACAGTATGAAAAAAATATGAAAAACCTGTTATCGTTTTAGCAAATCTACTGTGGCAGAGGAGTCTCTCTCTGGACCGTTCAGCCTGGGATGTGGATTCTGAGCTGGCAAGTGAGCTTTATGAAAGATGGCAAAAAATAAGATGCGGGGAAGCCTGCAGGTTGGTACAGAATATGTTGAGTTGCTTAAATTCAAACCAGTACAACGATGTAAGAAAATATTTATATCCTGAAGCATTCCTAATTAAAACAAATGTTTTAGACTTTGCTATACCCAAATTAGTTATCTTGAAGCCTCTGGAGTTTCAGAGCATCCCAAACACTCCTAGCATCTGTTCCAAGGCAATGTCAGTGATAGTAAACATTTCAGATGCCTGAATTTTAGAATGTAACTAGTGTTTTGGTTGTGAGCTCCGCCATAGCTACTCAGTTTTAAAGCAGTCAAAGCACATTTTACCTCATCGGTTATGGAGCTGTGCAAATCTTTTGTCTGCAGGTTTCATAGCCACATTCTCAGGATTAGGAGCTTTGTACAGCTTTCCAGGCTTTTAGTCCTCAGCCTAATAGATGCTGCATGTTGAAGGAAGCAGTCACTGTGTCTGAGCAATTCATGTAGAGACAGTGCATCAGTGATATCGGCAACTTTCCAGAATAGAGAGGCAGGGCTGTGAAAACTAGTCACTGTGTTACAGATGGAAAAGATGAGATGGAAGGGAATGCACATAAATTACACTGTCTGTGATTAGATTTACAGGTTGATTGGCTTTATTTTGTGAAGAATGTTTTTAAAGGAAAGATTAGTTGGTGTTGGCTAATTATCATCTTCTGTTTTTTGATTTAAAAAATAAATAGAAGGAGCAAGAGGTAGAGGGGGGAAGGAAAAAAAGCAAACAACAAAACAACCAAATCTCTTTTGATTTTTACCAATAAAGGAGGAGGAGCATTCTGGGATCAACTCGCTTGATTCACCAGAACCAGCCTGAAGATGAGGTGTCATTTGCCTTTTTCTTGCCACGGTTGACTGCAGAGCCCAGCCTTACGCTCAGCTTCAATGCCACAGCAGTTAAAAGTAGCGTGGTGAGAATGGTTGTTCTTTTTCTCTGCTGATAAATGTTTGCTTCCTTAAAGAATGAGGTCTACAGTTAATATTTGGTGATGCTTAGCATTTTCATATTGCTTGTAGACTGATGTTTTGAGGTCTTCATGCAAGTCTACTGCAGGATACCACGCTTGTTAATGCCTTTGGTTCTCTGATAAGTTCTCGAGCTACTCACTTGTAATATTTTAATACAAGGAGAGGAGTATAAATATTGATGTTGACAATTATGAACAAGTGTTAAAGTTTTCTCACATCAAAATCCAAACGAAAGGGTTATTTTAAAGGGGGAAGAAGTCTATACCTTTGGCACGTGTAGGTCTTCATGCGCTGTGAGCTGTTTCTGCAGTTGAAGGCGTTGTGAAGATGTCCTATTCCATGCAGTTTTGTACCTGCATGGATATATTAATACTGAAGCCAAGTGGAAGTCCCTTGAAAATTCAGTTCATATTAGTAATGCTGACTTATTATCAAATATGTAGTTCTTAACTTTTTCCATCCCAACTTTTTAGGTAAAGTATTTCATACTGAGAAATCCTTCATCCTTTCCAGTTGCACTGCAGCTTCTGCCACTCTCTTACTACCCTGATCCCCAAGCTTCACTGAGTCTGCTCAGCAAATGGTAATTAGTATAACTGTCTCAGAATACTGTTTTTTCTTTTCAAAATTGTAATTGCCGTGCCTTATGATTGCTGCTTATTATTTGTTTAAATTGTTTGAAGCATAAGGTATGTGGGGATCATTTTCTTCTCCTTTTTGTAAGGTACAGTCATGTTCAGAGCACCTCCTTATTGACTGGATGCATTACAGAGTCAGTGCCAAACTGAACGTATTTTCAGCAAATTTGTCTGCCAGCAACAAACTATAATTGATCTTCTTCTAAGATTTGAGGCTTAGTGCAATTTTGTGCTGGCTGCCCAGATGAGGGGAGCAACTCCCACAGGTGTGGGATGTGCAGCTCCCAGCAAAGCTGGTTGGGAAGCATATTGTCTGTAAAATGTGGTCAGCGAAGAGAAAAGAAACTGAACCTAAAACAAACAAAAAAAAGATAAAAACATTTTTTCTTAGAAAAGCCCTTATATGAAGCCCCAGTCTCTATGTAGCTGCTTCCCTAACATCATTTATTTGTGTTTAATTGCATATATATGTGTATATACACACACGTGTGTGTATGTATATAGATATACACATAAATAACTGCACATGTTTGCATACTAAGTATAATTTCCACACAGACTCTTTACGGTAGCTTGAGATGACATGGTCTCTGTATTTTGACACTGATTTCAGCAGATCACCTAGATCTACTAGCAGTTGTTCTGCTAACTGGTTCTTTTCAAACTAATGTCGTGAAAAGTTGCGACAAGTGAATTTCCAACTCAGTGGCTAGAGATCCACTAATCCTCTACGACTTAAATTTTTTTATTGGTTTTCTTACAACTCTTCTTACTGCCTTAAGTACCAGATGCTTAGAACTTGCTTTCAGACACAAAATAAGTTTCAGTAAGTGGTTTTGATTTGCAAAATACGTGAAAGAATACATGAGTACATCCCAAATTCTGAGCAGAAAAAATCATACAAGTAAATTATTAATATTTGATGATTGTTTCTCAACAGTTATGTAGCAGAAAAGCTGTGGGACATTTCTGTTTATTACAGCAAGAAATTGCCTTAATTGTGATCTTTTGCATACTGTGTACTGAGAGAACTGAAATACCCAGGCAATTTTATGTTTTCTGAGCACATGCAATTCACATAAAACTAATTTGCAGAGTATTTTGTTAAAATGCAGATCTACGTTTCCACAGTATTTCACATCTCCTGAAGTGCAATTGTAGAAGTTTTATTTTTTTTAGGACAAATGCCAGCCTGTGAGAGTAAGTCAGTGTAGTTCTGACACACTAGGTTTGAAGTGCTTAATTTTTTGTTTTGGTTTATTTAGGTTTGGCATAAATATTCAAGCTATTAATTTCACCACCACTGAGTTCAAGCTCATGGATGAATATTCTCACAGGGTAAGAAGTTTAATTTCTCTAGAAGAAGTGATCTGACAGACTAGTTGCATTACATCTGAGTTGTTACCAAGTACTACTTAAAAGAATGTAATTGTGTTTTCTCAGTACTCTGTCAAGTTTGTGTTTTTGCTGTCAGTCTCTTTCCAGAATTTGAGTCTGTTCTCCAAATTGAAGATGACTGTGGAGAACCTGTGCATGCATGTGTTGAAAAGGCCATGGTTTGCTTTCTATCTTGAGACTTCAGTTTAGCCCCAGGTTGACCAAGTAGTACAAGGTTTTTTGTGTTGGTGACCTCAGAAGATAACAGATAATCTTTTCAGTAGAAGGAAATACAATCCAATAGCTCAGTGATGGGGAAAGCTGCATTTCTGTGCTTCATCTCAGTCTCATTGCAACTTCCAGGTTGAGGTTAGAAAGTCATAGCTGTCTGTGGTTCCCATTACCTCATTGTTAACACAAACATAGCGATGCTTAACTGTACTGCATGCCTGATCTGTGATTGTGCCCCAAGGTCTTCTGTCATGGATAGCAGCTAGATGATGTGCTGCCAAGGATGCTGGCATAATCTGACTACCAGAGTACCAGCAAGAGTTTATTGTTATGTTTTATATGGGGCCCTGGGTAATCTGATCTAGTATTTGATCTAGCAGCTGGCAGCCCTGCCTGTGGCAGGGAGGTTGCAACTGGATGATCCTTGAGGTCCCTTCGAATTCAAGCCATTTTACGATTCTAGTTTGTGCAAAAGTCTGGAACTGACATATGCTCCTTACTTTTTGTGCATGCTGCAGCTGTCTCTTTAATGGTCTGTGTAAATGCAATGAAAGACTCCTAGCTTTTAAAAGCAAAAAGAGTCTGTTTGCTGCACTAATCAAAACTGACCTTTGTTTTTTGGCAACGATTAGTTGTAAAATAGTGTTAAAACCTTTATGTTAGCGTATGTGTTGCCTGTATTTCACATAGGGACTTAAGAGTCTATGGGAGTGCTAAGTTACTTGGTATGTATGAATACAAGATGGAGCTTGTCTTGTTGTTAGCCAAATGGCTAGTTGTTAACAGTCATATTTTTTAATATGTTCTCATTTTCCCAAGTGCTTTAAATACACGTGATGAATAGTTAGGCTTACATTTGAGCGCAAGCACATCTGTATATTTACAGGGTGAAATTTGAAAATGTCATATGTTTGTTTTGCTTCTAATGAATATTAATCGTTAAGTACAGGCTCTGAAACTTTTTTTTGTCTTTTTTTTTTTCATTGAATAGACTAAGAATAAAAACATTTTGGACTAGGAGAGATCAGAAAAGCTATTAAGGTTTCAGCTGTGAATTTTAACACAATCAAGAAAGAGCCCATTTTGTAAAGTTTATGGTGGTTTTGTGTGCTCTTGGTTTCTCATCTTGCTTTCCTAAGAGGAGATCGACAGTTCTGAAATTGAAAGTTTCAATGTAGTTCTCTCTCTGCTCCTCTCCCTGTCATCATCTTCTCTTTTTTTTTTAAGGGAAAAAAAAAAGTGAAGAGCAGTATTGAAATTAAAGTATATATATTTTTATATATATTTTATGTCCAGTCTCACTGAATGTATAGTAGAACTGATCCTCAATTAGCGTGGTAGAGAGTTCACTTTGGCTTGTTTCTGGTAACTCAGAATGATTAACATATTTGCCAACAATCTGTTTCGCACTTAAATCAAGTTGCAAGCTCTGTGCCAAGGAGAGCACAGCTTATTCAGTATGCTGTCAGTTCCACTTGTGCTGTGAAGTGTTTCAGCACTCCTTAAATATGAAGGATGCCATGTAATTTCTTTACCATTTGAACAAATAAAGTCTGTTTTAAAAAATAAATTACTACATTCTTCATAGGAAGTGCAGTAATATGAACTCTTGCTCAAATAAATAACCTTATCTGATGTTTATGTTATCAGATTGAAAGTTATTAGTGTATCAAGTTAATAAGCATTTGTCACACCTTGCCAGAAGTATCTTGTGCTAGGTAAAGAGGCAGTGCTTTGTTTTATTGATATCTTTTAACATACATGCTTTCTATGACTAAATAAATGCATTTTTGTTTAACAGAGTGCACACCAAGAGGATCTCATCAGCAAGAGACACAGTTCTGAGCTGCTTCAGTTAAATTTACAACCACTGGAAACCAGAAAAGTTGGTGTAATTTTTACACCAGTTGACTACAAAAGAGTGGCTTCCATTATTTTGATCAGGTAAGCCAGGTTTCACTTTTGAAAAGCAAACAAATCAATGAGCAAATGATTTTTTCACATTGTGAAGACAAATGGACCAAGTTTGACAGTCAAAACACCTGCAGTTTAATGGAAGTTGCTTGAAAGGTCCTTGTGCCTTACATTTAGGTCATTATAAAGTAGAACTTCAGCTTTTCTTTGTTTTTTGGGGATCGCTGGGTTAGAAAATGCATATGAAAGTGTACTGTGTGTATAGCCAAGGCAATTTTTCACTCAGCAGATGAATAGCATTCTCATGTTGGGTGGCTTTGCTACTTTAAACTTTACTCCTTAGTGATAGGATTTAAATACTGTATTTGAAAGAGGGTATGGAGGTAAGCAATCATTTTTTAACAGGTAGCACTGTTGATAGTGGCTGTGGTCACAAAACTTGTTACTTCATTTTTTAATTGGTGATGGTGAATGGTTCCTGGGAGAGCCTGTTTTTATGGGAAATCAATCCAGGTGTGGCCAGTGATTGTTACTGATGCACTGTTGTCTTTATTGTTGGCATCTAGATAGCAAAGCCATGATCTTGCAAACTTCATTTATGTCTTAAGGACTGATTGCTTCATTTTTATATTGTGGCAGAAACAACTTGACTGTTCTGGATGTGGTCAATGTAGAAGGCTATGGAGCCAGAGAATTACTTAAAGTAGGGGGAAGACTGCCAGGTGCAGGAGGATCTCTTAGATTCAAGGTTCCAGAAGCTACGCTGATGGATTGCAGACGACGTGAGTAAGAAGAAGCAAGTCTCTGATTTAGTAACTGCCTGTGTTACTTCAAAGTGGCATAGACATGGTGCAATAATGTTAAATAAATGGAATATTGAAGTAAAAAAAAAAAAGCTGAAGAGTGATCATGAGAGGTGTAGGTTCTGATGTAACTAGCCTCAGCCAGTATTTTGAGACAAGTTCTGGAATTAAACTGCTGCAAAACAGTCTTTATTAAAATGTTGGTCACTTCTGAATGTTAAATTGGAATGAAAGTAAAAATAGTTTATTTCTGATCATGAAGGAGTTTTTTAAGCACTGTACAATAATAGTTCTGTTGTTTTGTTTGTTTAAGAACTGAAAGACAGCAAGCAAATTCTGTCCATCACGAAGAACTTCAAAGTAGAGAATATTGGGCCTCTTCCTATAACAATTTCATCAATGAAAATCAATGGTTACAGTTGCCAAGGATATGGATTTGAGGTGTTAGACTGTCAGGAATTTTTTCTGGCTCAGAACTCATCACGGGAGATCAGCATCGTGTAAGCAAAAAAGAAATTTGCTGACTAATTAACTTAATAGGAAATTTAAAATAGTTTCAGTAACAGACACCCCAATAATGCACACATGCACACAAAATTTGAACCTTGAAAATAAGTTTCATAAGCGTTTCCTCTTTTCAAGTGAATAATATAATGATGCTTATAGTAGTTCATTGTTGTTAAAAAGCAGCACACATGCTTTTCTCTGTGTTATGAAGTAATAAACAAAAACCAGAGTTGTAGCAGTGATTAAAGAACGGTCTGCCAGTGACTCTTTTTCATTCTTTGTTTTTCTTCAGTTTATCCCAAGTAGCCTGACTACAATCTAGTCATGTTTACCTAACATTGCACATAGGTCTAAAACTGGTTCTTATTAAAATCCTGTTGAATTAGTCATGGCTTAAACATAAGGAGAGGTAACATTACAGTGTATTACAGTAAGTATGGTTATGTATACAATGAGTTTCACTTCTGGTGATTGGAAAGGCAAGTCACACCTTTTAGCAGTACACATGGCAGCCAAACAGAATATTGGGATGGGGCAGGGAAATTAGTGGAAGAAGGCAAAATCTGATGTTTTCTTCCCCTTTCCCCATCTTTCTAGCCTTCTAGACTTACCCTAGAATCTGACCCTTTCCAAACTGGCTGTCTGTACATTTAACCATGCTTTTGATAAGAGTGTTTCAGTTAACATGAGTGGGTCATCTTGCACCTTCTTCAGAAAAGAAAAATGAGTTGCTGTAATGCGTTAAGTGTATGTGTCCACATGGACATTGCACATATTTTACTCCTTGAGGGTGAATACAAAGTCTTACCTCTGTTAGGTGCTAATGCATCTGTGTAGTTTTAAGCAGACAGTGGTAATATATTTTATTGTATTTTTTTGTGTTATTAAAGTAAAAGTCACGTTGTATTTTGTTCTGTCACCATGAGTTCAGAAAATGAAATTTAGCCCAGCAATGGAAGAATAACACCAGCTCTGTCTCCTTTCCTGACAGATTCACTCCTGATTTTACATCTTCATGGGTAATCCGGGAGCTTACACTGGTGACTGCTGCTGATCTAGAGTTTCACTTCACGCTTAATGTGACTCTTCCTCACCATTTGTTACCGCTCTGTGCAGATGTGGTGCCAGGACCCAGCTGGGAGGAGTCTTTCTGGAGGCTCACTGTCCTCTTTGTAAGGTAGTGTGTTCAGAGCCACTGGTAGAAAGTCAGCAAGCATTTCTGACTTCTAGATGTGAGGATGGGGCCTAGATCTCTGCTACATCTAAGTCTGTGATAACTAGTGTGATCCAGTAGTCTGTGATAGCGTTACAAGCATTTCATTCCGCTCCTCTTGATAAACTCTCATGTTAGGGTTGGAAAGAATAGCTAGTGGGTACCCTTGCTGCTAGGAGACTTGCTCTCCAAGTAGAGGTGCACATGGAACCTGTTAATCCCTGAATGTCAGCTGTAGAATTGAGTGAACTGGTGGCTTACTTCAGAATATTTCTGAGAAATTAGCATGAATTTTATTTATGAAGTTTCAGGCAACTGAGTAAGGATCTACTTGGCCTTGTGCTTCCTTCCTCTCGTCACCTACTCGCACCAGAAAATTATTAGTTTTATGTTAACTGGCTCATTGCTTGGTCTCGGGAAACTGTTTTTAGAGTCCTGTACCATTAAGAATTCTGTTCTTATGCTTTCTTTTTTGTATTGCTTTGTAACCTTTCATACTGTGTACTGTGATTTGAATGCTCTGCTTGTGACAGATAATTTCTGGTGCTTTCATTGCACAAACCCTGAATTCCTGCAATCAGAACTGGCAAGCAGTGAGCATAAATATCATAATACACATGGTGCACAGTTAATTGAGATCATGTTGTAGACTGTGGCTCTGTTTGCATTGATGTTTTGATAAGTGAACCAGCAAAAATAACCATGTTATGTGATTCTAGATGCAGCAAAAAGATGCTATAAGGATTTGAAAACTCAGTTTTTCATTCTGTTGTCTAGCTGACAAAATTTGTACTCTGTGAAAAGTGATTTGATGAATTATGGAGATTTTTGTTCTGATCAGTCTGTTTGTTGCAATTAATGCACCAGAGAAAACAAGAGGACATTTTGCAGTCAGTTTTACCTCAGAAGAATGATGGCATCTGCAGCCCACTTTGTCAGTATTTCCTCTAGGAAAGTACTCTAAGTAGAGGAAGGGACAGTAATAAATAAAAATAATGGCATAACTGTAGCGTATATGTGGAAGGCACTTACTAGGTTAATATGCAATCATGCTATGATACATTGTCATTGTGTTGTAGCAAGACTTTTTTTCTAACTGGTCTTTAAATCATATTATAGCTTTCTCTTCTAGGATGAATTTTTTTTTGATTTAGTTTTCCTTATAAAGCTCAAGATTGAGCTTTTTTTCCCAGATAGCAACCAGTAAGAGCTATAAGATTAAAAAAACAACAAGAACAATAACAAAAAAACATTATTAGGATTACTAGTTTGCATTTTCTCATCTGCCTTCTTCCTTGAAATTGACTAACAGAATATTTGAAAAGTACATCTTTTTACAACATTCCTGACAATTGTAGACACTGGTATTTCTTTTCTTTTTTGACAGTTTGTCCCTACTAGGTGTGATTCTGATAGCCTTCCAGCAAGCCCAGTATATTTTAGCAGAGTTCATGAAATCAAGACAGAGACCAAATCCCAGTTCTTCATTGCAGCAGAACAACAACTCTGTTGATGTCATCAGCTCTGATTCTTACAAGTAAAAATAATTTTTCTTCATTCTCTTTAATGTGAAGTAGTGCTTTGCCTGCTAGTACTTTGATATTGCTGTGGGCTGCTTTAGATGAGATCGTGTTCAAGGTGACCTCTTTCAGAGTGTTTTTAATATTGCGGCGTATGTTTATCTTCACAAAAGAGAGATGTAAGAACTCGAGTTTATTCACCTACTATTGTTGGTAGTAGGGTAAAAATAGCGTGATGGAATTAATGGAAACACCATGTACAGCAGCCATGGAAAGCTAAGAGTGGAAGATAAAGTGAATGGTCCTCAAATCCTATCTCCCAGGTCTCTGAGCTTGGGCGTTTGTTCAAGCACGTGAGCGTGTGTTTGAAGCACATACTTAGTTGTTCTCAACTCCCACTGAAATCAGAATGTGCTTGGCCAATGTGATATATTTACCAACTAACACATTTTCATGGCTTGTGAATATGCCCCCTTTTATTACAAGAATATACTATTAAACAATTCGTGATCGCTTCATAAATTTGTAAAGCAACCAAAAAGAAAAAAAACAAGTCTCAATTAGTTTTTGTTTTCTGTAGGGGCAGCTGTAAGACATTTATGGATTCCTATAGTTCCTCAGATAAAGGTAAAGGGAAGGGCTTCCTGTCTGTAGGCACTACTTCTAGCCGAAGTCAAAATGCTGCAAAGAGAAGTCCTGCGACCTACAGCCACTCTCAGAAGAAACACAAATGTTCAGTTTACTACAGTAAGCAAAAACCAAATGCAGCAGCTGGCAGTGCCATTGCAACTACTGACGAGAAACAAAATCAGATTGTGGAGAACCAAATCTCAGCACCAAAAGAGGACATTTGCGCTGACGTTGTCAGTGAGAACTGGGTAACTCTAAAATATGCAAATGGCATAAATGTTAACAAGAATTTAACTCTTCCAGAAAACTTTCTGGGCAAAGAAGAAAGTGCACTGAACAATACAGTTCTCATTAAAAGTAGCTCTTCAGAGTGCAATCTGAAGGAAGATCTTCAAACATGTATGTTTCCTAAGGAAACTAACCTTAAAGCTTCTGAAAATCTAGCTGAGCTCAAGGAACAGGAGTTCTGTCCTGTGAAGATGTCCAAGAAGCTACCTGAAAGTCACTTGTCAAGAAGTTCACCTCAGCAACAGCCGGAACTGCAAGAAATTTCTAGGAAGAATAATGGTAATTAAAACAAAATTATCAGTTACTGAGTTAAGTTATTAAGCAAAGTGTAAAGTTCACTGTGGTCAGGATTTCCTTTGTTTTAAGTCAAGGTGTGACATTATTTATCTGAGCAGTATGGTATTTTTGTTTACATTCCTAAGGAAATAGCTTTCTTTAAAAGTTGTTGCTTCATGAGTCATTAATTGTACTTGGTTTACAGATTCAAGCCTGTGCTGAGGCATTTTAATGGTTAAAATCATTGTTGTTATTGATCTACTTTTGAGATGCAAATTGCTCATATCAAACAGGGCTTCAGCAAGATAGTTGGCGTGCCAAAGACTGGCATTTGCTGAACTATGGTGGTTCTGGTATGTGGCAGTTTACTTAGTGAGTGAGCCATAATGGAGGAGTTCCAGGCACTGCTGTAGTGTGTTGTTGCTACCCTGGACTGGTCTCTTACCCTTTCTGTCCTTAATTGTTAGATATGGCAGGCACAAGTTTGCTGTCTAAGACATATCGTGCTTGCACGTTTATATGGAAGTGAAGCATTTTTAGAGCTCTAGCAGCCTTCCTTGCCTACTCAAGCAAGACAAGAGAGGGTGGCTGAGATGCTGTAGTTGGTTGGTAGGTGGGAAAGGCACGCCCAAGCATTTTCCTATTTGAGAAAAACAGTTCAATGTGATAAGCAATTGCATTCCTTGTGCACTTTTCACAGCTGGTGTAGTCAGAGCTCAAGTTAGTTCTGTCCCGTGCAGTATTTCCAAGGTTCAGGCAGAGTGGTTTGTCTGGGCAGCTCAGCCAGCTGTTGAGAATTGCTTCCTCTTTCATCTCTTTGCTTTTGTTCACAAGACTGCACAAGAGTAATTCTTTCTCACAAGACTCTCAATAAAGTTCTAATGCTGCATCCGTCCTAAAGAAAGGATGAATTGCCTTTATCTTTCCAGTGGACCCAGAGGACACACTAGAGACTTAAAGATAAAATATATGTATATATTAAACTACCCTTTTTTAAAAGTCTTTTCTCTGAGCTTGCAGGGTGTTTTTTGTTGTTGTTGTTGTTTTGTTGTTGTTTTTTGGTTTTTGTTTTGTGTTGTTCTTAAGACCGATATTCTCTGGCTTCCAGTTCTACCTTCTAGACCCCATGCCTGGGACCCAAACCATTCAAATGAGTAGAAACTGAGTGATTTATGCGTGCCCACTAGCATGCACTGATACAGAGCTACTTGTTGCAATTGCTGTCAGAATGTTTGCACAAACATTAGCTTTGAACATTGAAGTTTTCAGCATCAGAAGCTTAAATATTCTTGAAAGCTCATGGTTTGGGAGCTTTCTTTGTTTGTTTGTTTTCTAAGATGTAGGCCAAAGTGAAGGTAGAAAGCAGTGTGGATGCAGTTAAGAGCATCTTCTCTTCTCAGGCAAACTCGGATTACTTTTTAATTGTAGGGAATAACCAGCAAGTGCTTCTCAGGAATGAAACAGAAAGCTGTGAGACCTTAAAAAAGCAGATCAACATAAAGCCTTCCACTGAGAAAAAGATTAATAAAGGACGTAAAGAAGAGGAGATTACTTCTTCTGAGGTTTGTATTTCTGCTTTTTAAATTTAAAGTGATCTTGTTATTTATTTTTGTGTATATGTATAGGTATGTTTGTATGCATATGTAGAGACTGTTACAGCCAGAGCCATAGTTTGAAACGTAGATCAGATGAAGGTGGAAGAATGCAGATGTACTGTCACACGTCCCTTGCATACTAATGCTGAGTTATAGAAAGATGAACAGTTTGGGTAAAAATTAGAGCAGCCCTCATTGTGATGTTGGCCTCATCACAGGCAGCTGTTTTCTCCTGTGTCATCAGAGCAGGCAGAGAGAGCCTGGAGTCTGATGACAGGTATCAGCCACATCAGTGATGTGGGAGCATATCCTGGAGATGTGGGGATGGTCTAGAGGGGCACATCTCCCTTCATTTGTCAACCTGATCTCTGAATCTAGGGCTTTGTGTCAGAGTTTTGCTAATGAGAATAAAGCAAGCAGAAGACCCTTAGCAGATTCTGAAGCTGCTGAGAAGAATCATTCTTCATCCCTGGTTTCTGAGCACAGGATAAACACAATGCATTGTACGTGTGTTGTTGACAATGTAAAGAATGAAAGTAGACATGAAAAAAGTGTCACCTGGCAATTAAGAATTAATAACTAACATCTAAGAACTTGGTTTATGTTTGTGACCTGTTTACTTGCATTATAGTTGAATGACAGGAAGATTTAATGAGGATTTGCTTACCATGTGAGTTTAGAAAAGACAAGGTCTAGTCTTGTTTTGGGAACTGTTGTTACAAACTCCTTTTCATGTGCAGCTGATAGTGCTTATTTGTTTTTCCTTGTGTTTCTTAAAGTCACTTATTTGTTGGTTAAGTTACCCCATAATTTCCTCAGTTTAATTCAAATGAATGCCCCCTCCCCCCCCAGTCGCTGAGGAAAGGGAGGATTTATTGCTGCTGAACTTGCACACAGACTGCTCATAAATCTGGCAGATGTTATTTCTTTTTTTTTTTTTTTTAGCACATGGTGGATTTTATTGAGTGCCTTCTTTTTTCTCCCTGTATTTTTAATTTCCATGCAAGTCGGGGCTAGATGCTGTGAGGGTGAAATGTTAACTCTAGGAATTCAGAAACTTTTCTCTCATCATCCATTGAAGGATGGATTCTTGGAAAGACTGATCAAGCTGATGGTGTAGGAAAGAGGGAAGTGCTGTGGAAAGGCACTGAATCATACAGTAACTATGCAATTGGGTTGGGCTGTTTTGTCCAGAAAAAAATTACCTTGAAAATCTAATGGAGTTCATTTTATTGAGGTAACTTTGTTTTATAATGCATGTATTCTCTTAGCTCACTGGTTTTTTAAAAAAAATCTTCAGCAAGAAGATGCATTTAGGAAGAAGAAACCTCAGGAGAAGAAGGAAGGAAATGTACCAAATGCGAATTGGAATAGAAACAGAACATCTCGGAAAAATAAGAAAAAGAATGTTAACATATCTACAAGGTATGTGTTGCCTCACCGAGTCATGAGAAAATCCAGAGTAGCAGTAATTTTTCCTCAGAGTTTTGCTGAGTTTTGTACAGTACGTTAGGCAGATTGCTTTATCTCTTTAAGCAAGTACTCAGTAGTCCTGGCCTGGGACTTCATTGTTAAGAATACACAGTATGAAATATTGCCAGCACAATAAATAGTTATCCATTTGTAAACCTGCATGTGAATAGACTCAGTCCACTGCGTAGCAGTGCTTGCTCTCTGCTGTGGCATGACATTTGCTGCCTCTAGATTTGGATGGCTAATGTTCTGTTATTGTATTGTGTGGGAAAGATCCAGCCAGATCTTTTTTCTGTGAAAAAGGAAGACAAAGTTGTTCAAATTATTCCGCCATCAGGAGAATCATCTGCTGTATAGTGTAACTTAGGGAATATTGTCTTCTGATAGTTTTGAGGGATGAAGAAAAGAGACAAATAATTGTATTTCTGCCATAATGATTGAAAAGTTATCTACCTCAGAGGAGCTGATAAGTAACATCAGTGAATCTGCAGTGACAAGTGTTGACAGTAGGTTAGAGTGGCTCTAGGTTCAAGTAGATAGTGCGATTACCTTGGGAAGTTACTTGTTTTGTCCCCTGAGGTTCTTTTAAATACATTTCTGAGGTCAACTCAGAATCAGTGAATAATTCCAATAAATATTTGTTTCATATTTCTAGTATTTATGCTACATTGCTTGTTATTAAAAAACAAAATACAAATTTTAAATAACTGCTAAAACTTACTTACTACGAGAAAATCTTCCTTTTTTCCCAGTCCTCTGAATTAAGGTCACAATTATACAGAGCCTTCATGGACTTGCTTTTTAATGTGAGTGGTCCTGTTGAGGTCAGCAGACTTGGGGAAATTGCTAATTTGAAGGTGTTGTTTGTTTATAATAGGTTACCAACTAATATCACTGTGGGAAGTCAGCATATGTAAAAGGCTTTGCAGGTAGGATGGAGAGACAGTGGAAGTACTGAAATTTGATGTCTGTTCCTCAAACTGATGCCATTTTCTCATTTCTATGGCAAGGATGTAGCCATATCCTTCTTGTAGGATATGACAGCTGAGTTTTATTCCTTTTGCCTTAGTACTCTGATTACTATATTGGCTCCAGATATTTCATTTTGACTAGGAAAACCTTGAAATTCAGATTTCATAACCAGATTATTCTGGTTATAATTATGTCAGTGAAATAGATGTAAGGCACATTTTCTAGTCAACCTAGATCTCCATACAATGCTAGACTGTGCTTATTGCTATAACGTATAAATGCCTTGCATGCATTAGAGAGTGGAATTAAACTTGCATGCATTGTCTTGCTCTCCTTGAGAGGTAGGAGTCTGTGTGATGGAATATTGCGTTTTGGGAAAGCCTTAAGAGAGAGTTTTAAGGTAAAACTGAGGAAGAAGATTTGTCAACCTATTCCTCGTCCCACATTCTGCCTTGACAGCCTTTTGAGTTAGGATGTTTGAGTTGGGTGTTCCTTAAAAGGAAAAAATAATGATGTATGTGTTTTTTGGGTATGGTTGTATTAGGGTCCCTGAGCAGAGTGAGTTGAAGCATCTGTGCAATGAATATGAAAGACTGGACCTGAGAGCGAATATTGGAATAAGAGCCTGGTGTCCTCAGGGTGACGGGGAAAATTGTAAAGCAGACCAAAAACCTGGGAGCTTGTCTATACAGGGAGAAACAGGTATGCAGTCTGAATTACCTCAAACTGGGGAAGAAGCATAAAATGTTTTCCTTGGAATAGAACCATACTCATTTCCTGAGACCTCTTTGTCCCTCTTGTCTTCAAACCCTGTCATGAAGGTGACAAGAGGAGCAGGTACCACTTCCTTCCCAGAACTGGTCAGCGCAGTGCCAGGTCCATCATTCCTGCTCATTTTGCAAGGGCTGTGTGTGCCACTAACCGTGCTGTATTCTCACTTGTGTTCGTTGCACTGGAGCTGTCTTTTAGGCTATAAGCTTCTCATAGTAGGGGCTGGCATGTTCATCTTGATGAGAATTTCAGTAGATACTACTTTCTCCTATCAGGAAATTCGGAGAATTACTGAAAATATGTATTTCAGGTAACTTTTATTTTATTTGTTCTTATTATTTCTTTAGAAAGGTTTTATCAACGGTCCAGAAAGAAGTGTTTGGAGAAGTTTTGTTCTGATTCAAGCTCAGACTGTGGAAGTTCGTCAGGAAGTGTTCGTGCCAGTCGTGGGAGCTGGGGTAGCTGGAGCAGTACCAGCAGTTCTGACGGAGATAAAAAGTCCATGATTACTGCCAGGCATTTTCTTCCATCCCGTAAGTTCTGTCAACATCATATACATCTGCAAATAGTAGGAGAGTTTCAGCCTTCCTGCTGAATGTAGAGCTGCCATGGCTCTACACGGAGTGTAACTTGCCTTTTTGTAAGGGAGGGCACCTCTCGGAGGCAGCAGGACAGATTTAAATAACTTGGTATCACAAGTTTTGTAGATAGAGGCAGTGTCAGGCTACAAAGGAAGCTCTGCACTAAGGAGCTGCACATTTTGTTTTCAAGGAAAGATGGAAGAGCTGAGTCCCTAGTCAAAAGAGTTTTTGTCTTTTGAATGTTATATCACGTTAATTAAAAAAAAAAAAAGTAGTATCTTGTTGTTTGAGTTAAGAAATTGTACAAATGAAAGCTGTGTGCAAGCAGTTCAGAACGGATCTCAGCGTGCTGGAATTGGGTAACTAAATTTGAGATAGAAGGAGCCAGGAGGCCTGCTACATTTGAGGAGTATGAGAAGAGGCAAACGTAGTTAATTACTGCATCTTTTTGAATGCCTGAATACCTTTAAAATAGTTGAAAGCCCAAGACTCAGTTACTACCATTGCTGGCCAGACTGATGTAGTGATAGAAGTAAATGTTTTAAAAGTGCTGAAGTAGCACAAGTACAAACAGCCTTCGGTACCTGAAAGTGCCTGTTTTAGAGAATTAAAAATGTACATATAAACACAGGCACATCTGTGTGTGCATAAAGTGTCACAGTCTTATGTTAGCAAGGATGCTATGTGATGAGTCTGAACCTGTAATATGATGGATAATGATTTGTGGGCACGTTACTTTATTGTCAGATTTTATTATTTCTTTAGAAGTCATATCAAATTAAGAATAAATTTGATAGTAACAAGGGATCTCTTAACATTTAGAGCGTTGGTAATTACTGAAGTCAAAATACATTTAAGACCAAGTGAAAAATAAATCGAATGCTTTGCATATTAATGCAGTTAGTGATACTCCAGTCTGAGAAGAAACTTTAACACCATTGATGAGTGTGTCTGTGTGTATAAATATTCTGTGCATACTTCTTTTTTTAGGATCTCTGATTTTCACAGTCATTCTTTTCTTTAGGGGAGAATATTTCACAAAACGATTTTCCATCTGAAACTCCTATCACTTTAAATCTGTCTCATAACATCTGCAATACCAGGTAAAAAATTTGAATCTACGCCTGTAAGACATGAAAGAAACTCCACCAACTTGAAACCTTGTCTCATTTTGGTGAATTATACCCCTTGTCTTATTGTATTTGGTTTACTATATTTTTATCATCTAATTGCACCTTCTACTTGGAAGAAGAATCTTTCTCAGTATGTGGAAAGATCTGTGCAGTTGAGACAGAGAAAGGATTGTGCTGGGGAAATGTAAAACAAAATTTGAGAATAAAGGAAATTATTTTTTCCCCACTGATTTCTTCCAGTTCATAGCAACTTTTGCTACATTTCCATTGGCCTGTAGTTATATATTTAACAATTATTACTTTAATATATATATGTGGAAGTGAGACTTTCAAGTTGATGTTATTCTTTTAATGAGAATAATGCTCTCCTAGGAAATTGATTTCCCCCTCCACTTTTTTCCTTTCTACTTCTTCACTATAGTAAAGATAGCATCTACAATTCTTATCACTGTGAATCTTCATTTCACTTCTCATTCATTACTGTCTGTTTTCACTAGCAAAAATAATTTAATCCTTTTTCTCTGGGTTTCTGGTGCTTAAAAACACTCCCTTTCCACTCACAAGTGGTTTCTTTGATGACATTCAGCGAATACAAAATTGATGTTCATGTGTGCCTATTGTGTCTTCATACACACAGAAGTCAACTTGTTTGAAAGCTGTTGGGAGCACTGAAACATCATCAGAGCTCTTATTCATCTTAATGGAAGAGCTGTTAAATCAATTTGCAATAGTTTGATGCTTGGATAATATAAGTGAGATTATTAAGATGTCTTTGTTTTGTATGCGTAATTAATAGCTGATGCAGTGGTAATTCAAAATAATGAGAAAATCAGGGAAAACCTGGGAAAGCAATAGCAAGAGTTGTTCTCTAGAATATTTTTTTAATCTGTATATCTTTCGTTTGAAATACTTTGGAATACATAACATAAGAGTGCCTTGATTTGAGAAATTCTATTTTCTTTTCATTTAGCAGAGACATGAATAGCATTCCTCAGTATCCTGATACCTTGTGTCCCAATTTCACTGATATAGCTGCAGATCCTGAAAAGAATAAAGGTCAGTTACTGAATTAACAACTTGAATTTTGCGGTGTGTGTGCCAAGCAGTGTCAATGATGCCGCTGACGTTCTCTGTATATGCAGAGATCAAACACACATTGTTAGATTTTGACTTCTAGGCAAGTTAAGATTAAAGTTAGCAAACAAAATCTTACTGCTTTGGTATTCTTCTGTATCTTCTCTGTGTGAATACAGCATTTTGCTTTCAGGTCTCATTTTTAGGTATTTTTCTTCTCTTGCTTTGCATAGGGTTAAGTCTAAAAATAATGAGGCTGGGATATGAAAACACCAGTTCCTTATGTTAAAATGAAGCTCAGCATCAGATGTGACCACTTTTTCCTCTCCAAATTTCCAGTCAAGACTTGCTCCTTTTGAAAGTAGTGAATGAAATAGGGTCAGAGTTTTGAAATGCTGAGTTCTCATCCTTTGTATCTTGGGAGGGAAATAATATTAACTTGTTCAGTGGGATTTATAGCAGCCAAAGGTTCAGTGTGGTCAGGTGGAGTTTGAAAACTGGTTAAAATACATAACTCTTTGAGTAGCATGCTGCTGTGCCTTTTGCTGTAGGATGGATGTCTGGCAAGGTACAAACAAAAAAATGGTAACAAAGTGTCTTTGAGCAGTTAGGTTAGAATGATATTGGTGATAGGACAAGGGTGAATGGTTTTAAGTTTAAGGAGGGAAGTTTTAGATTAGATGTCAGGGGGAAGTTCTTCACAGAGAGAGTGGTGAGGTGCTGGAACAAGGTGCCCAAGGAAGTTGTGGATGCCCCATCCCTGGAGGTGTTCAAGACCAGGATGGATGGGGCCCTGGGCTACCTGACTTAGTACCAGATCTGGAGGTTGATTGCCTTGTCTGTGGCAGAAGGGTTGGAACTGAATGATCTTTTCAGGAGGGGGGTGGGAGGGGGAAAGGCTTTTCCAACCCAAGCCATTCTGTGATTCTATGATAGGTGACTTGAGAACTCTTGCTTTGTTTTGTGGAATTACGAATTCTTCATTCAAGTCTCTTCCTACATATATATTTTTTTTAAGGAATAGAAATTATTGAGATTTGTTTGAAGATGATTGATGTTTGTCACATAAATAAGTTGGTTGATATCTCCAGATTTTTCATCTGCCATATAGTCTTTGTTGTGGAGAATCAGACGTTGCAGTGATATTCACAATTGGTGAAAGCCTCCATCCTGTTTTGCATGTTATTCCTTTTCCCCTGTTTAGGTCTTTACCCAGGAGGAGACTTGTGGCCTCCCCAACCCATCTGCCTGACAAACTACAATCTTGAGAATAATCTGCCATGCATGATCCAAGAAACGCCCTCAATCCACAACAGGCAAGTTATATTTCATGCAAACAGCATGGATTATGTTTTGTTAAGGTTTTCTCTGGTGCAGAGGACTGCACTTGAGCTCATCTTTAGCTATCATCTGCCTTGCAGATATTATAATTCATGCCATTGCTTCAATCCCCTAGTCTTTCATGGTTTTTTTTTCATTAGTATGTCATAACTTCACTCATAGAAACCCACTGGTGTTCCTACTCATATACAGTATATGCCTTCAGTTCAAATCATATTGTGTCATCCGAAGTGAAAGGGTGGGTAACATAAATCCCCAAATGACGATGATGTGATCCCAACCAGGCTGCTAACCCCAACTGTTTACAGACTGCAGCCCTGATGACTTGGAGTAACGGCTGGCAATCTGCTCTCTTAAGTTGAATGTTGAAGAATTACTCTTGAAAGTCTTCTTGAAATACTTGAATTATTTGAATGAAAACAAGTATGATCCCTATACTAAGCATGCATAGTTTAGGAAACCTGGTGGTGGTGAAGTATGAATCCCGTTGTAGAGTGCTCTGCATAGAAATGCTAAATAATGCATTGCATCCTTTTTTTTTTTTTTTTCTTTTTTCCCCATCAAATCATGGTATTTCACTTTCTATCTACCACTTCTGTGCCTGTGGGAAAGAAGTCTGATTATTTTCTTTTTCTTGAAGAAGTTGAACCCCCACAAGGTGTTGTAGAACTCTGGTAGCTGTCACTACAAATTGTTCATCCTCTCAGGGGGAATAAAGAGTTCAGTGAGAGGATCACTGTGATTGTGTGCTGGCAGAGTGGATGCTGGCAGAATTTGTATGACAAGCAGAATGTGAAGAGCCTCATCATCAGTTACAGGCATTTTACACCTGATAGCTTTACAGTGAATAAACATGTCTAAATAATTTTCAGAAGTTCTGCAAACTGTTTCTGACAGCACACTTTTCTTTTTCTTGGGACAGCTTCATTGACTGGAATGCAACTTGTGACAGCCAGTTTTCCAACATGTATTGTCCATTAGAGATGAACGAATACGGTGCTATTCCAGAAGGTAAGATGAATTTAAAAAGTTATCACTGAGCATGCTTTTTCTTTAACCTAACTTTTAAAACAAAAGGCTGAGCTTGTTTATAAGCATCTGGGTGTTTGAACTTTATACTTTCCAGCTGAGTACTCTATATGAAAAAAGCGCTGTCTGCATATGGTAGATAGGAAAGCTGGCCTTTGTATAGATTCATTAAGCCTGAAAATCCAGTGTAAAGGACTTGGTCTGAGAGGGAATAGAGAAAAATGCTTGTGATCACAGTATTACACAATTCTTTTTTGCACAGTTTTGTTTGTTTCTCCTCTGGCTTGCTTTCCAGTGTGTGAAACAGAAGGCCTCTTGTGACCAATTACCTTTGCAGGCTAGAGTTTCTTGGCTTGGGACACACTCTGGCAGGAACCTAAAATTCTTTAGCATTACCTAAGCAGTAATTGAAGATCAGGCTACGGTATCACAGGCAGCAGGGTAATCTCTCGGGTGCTTAGAGCTGAGGCATGTTGGCAGTGAAGCCAGGGTAGACTCTGCCATGCACTTTCTGCAGCTAATAAAGACTGCTTTCTCCAGAAAGGAGATTGCCTACTCTTTATCCCATTCTCCTGACAGCAGTTTGTTACTGGGGCCCTAGTACAAAATGGTAGTCTTGTTAAAGACTGTTATGTTTTGCTGCTGCATTGCCTGGAAGCTGCCTAAAGTCACCAAAAGCTTAGCTTGGTTCCAGCATGTCTCGCTCCAGGAAGGTTCAACGTTAAATAAGGCAAATTATTTTCTCTTCCCTGTTTTATAAACTGCAGAAAACATGAACTACTCCAGCGGCTTCCCAGGCACAGCTGCGATGCAGAACACAGCCTTCATTGACCAGAGCTGCACCTCCACCTGGAATGCACCGCAGAACATGCCGCCTGCCTGGGAGCCCGCCAGTTATGTCAACTCCACAGTGAGTATTGCCAGTGCCAGGCACTGCCTTCTCGTGCCACTGGAAAAGCCTTCGCAGTGTGTACCTGCCTTGCCCTTACCTACTGCTTGCGTGTTGCTCATATTTCCTTTAAGTAGCCTGACGTGTGTGTTTGATGCTGGTGTTGGTAGCATGGATTTCTCCCAATTGTTGGTCAAGGTTGTTCCTGGGCTTTGTCTATAAAACTCTTAAGATGGATCATTTTTGCCTGCAAATTAATTGAAATCATCTTACATATGGAAAAATATTTTGGACTTGCATAGTCTACTGAGACTTTTTCCTATCAAAATCAACCTTTCCAAATGAGAGTAAAATACAGAAAGTGCTGACAGCAAAACCCAGAGAGATTTAGAAATGGTAGGGCTAAACGGACAGCTGCTCTGAGTGACTTTGACAGTTTTTGGGGGTTTTTTTTGCGAGGAAATCAAAGTGATTTAAGCTGGATTTGTGTAGATTTCTGAATGCTAACTTTGACCTCTTTCTGTATGGACAAGCCATGTGTGTGTCATCCCACAGTGCAATGTGTGGCTGACCTCATTTCCAGGCAGTCCTTACTTGCACTGCCTTCTCTTCAGCTCAGATTTCAAAATCTTATATTTCAGATTTTTTTTACTATATTTGTAATACATTTGTTTTGAATAAAAATATTCAAATAAAGCAATAAATATTTCGAACTGCAGAACTGAAAATTCTACTCAATTTAAAAAGTAGCAAAACTGGTAGAAGACTGTTTCCTAAAATAGATGTAGCTTTATTTCATATTCTATTCAAGAATGCCAGGAAACACAGCAGGTAGAGATTGGAAAATACATTGGATAATTCAGTTCATTTCCCTGGCAAACTTTTCACTACGGTACATTTCAGTGTTTCATTCAATTTTAAAAGTCCCAAGACTTCCATGACCTTTCTGAGAGGTTTCCTTGCAAACTAATACATCTTGCTCTCCAGGAGGTTCTTCATAAGCTTTTGAAATTTTTCTACCTAAACTCTCTAGCTCCCAATTGGATTCTCTTTTCCATACTGAATATCCCTCTTTGCTTCTGGTGTGCATGATCTTTCATTAATGATACATTCATCAACCTTTTCCTTGTCATTTCTTAGGCATCCTTCTGTTTTAGTTTTAACCCTCCAAACCATGTGTGATGCTCCTTATGTCATCTGTTTATCCCTCATATTTCTTAATAACCCCACCAGAACTAAAAACTATATTCTTGTTGTGGTGATATTGGTGCCACGCAGAGAGCATGCTAATTCTGCTGTAATCTTTTGGGCAACAATATTACCTTGTCAGTTTGTTTAATTTTCAACTTGCGAGTTTCCAAAGTTCTCTGCATAAACGTTGCTTTCTCTCACTTAGTACACTTTCATTGGTGCTTTCTTTGGTGAGTGAGCTGTTTTGCAGCTCCCCATGATGCTTTTATCTTCTTCTGCAGCCCTACCTCTCGAGCACCCGAAGCTTGTCTCCAATGTCTGGACTTTTTGGTTCCATCTGGGCACCGCAGAGTGATGCTTATGAAAGCTGCTGCCCTGTCAGTGCCACGACCCAACACTCGACCCATGTTGAGAACCAAGCTGTTATGTGTAAGCAGGAATACTACCCAAGGTTTAACCCATTCCGTGCCTACATGAACTTAGACATATGGACTACAGCAGCAGCCAACCGAAATCCAAATTTCCCGCTTTCGAGGGACTCGGGTTACTGTGGAAATGTGTGAAAGGAATTTGATTTAAAAATGTGAATAAAGATGCTTGCAATTTTGAGTACTAGAGTAAGCTGGTTGTTGAATAGATTACAATGTTGGTGGATATTTTGGCACTTTTATATGGAAAATAAATTTTTTTTACTGAAGTCTAAGCATTCAGTGCATTTTGAAAAGCAAAACATTCAGGACACTGCTATTGTCAAGTGAAGGCTGTAAATTTAAATCTCAACACTTTTCAAGAAAGATGTTAGGTTCTTAGAAGCATCCATGAACCCATACTGCGCATTTCTTCTGAGGTTTACATTCTGCGGTATAAGCCAGGTGTCTTCTGGCATTTGTAGGTACAAAATCATAAAGCAAATAATTGCATTGTACTAAACAGCAGCACTGAGAGCTGCTTGTTGATGCAGGTCAGACATATTCCAAGTGGTGTTGCTCTTGCTGCTGACACAGTTGTTGGTATAAACTTCTGGAAACAAACAAATTGCTGAATTGTGGCTTGCTTCAAACTGCAAGCCATCAGTTGGATGACATCATGCTTGTGCATTGTGGGTGAATGGGCATTTCCTGCAGGAGCTTTCCTTGCCAGTGGTTCCTGACACCTTGTGTTTAGATTTTTAGCCTTTTTGTTGCAGTATCGTGTTTTCAGTGTGCTTAACTTGCCCTTGTCTAAATGGCAGCACTTGAATTGGAGCAAATATTGCTTTGAGTGCAGAGTTCACATCACTCCAAATCAGAACGGCAGTTTGTTCATATTTTGGGGCTGAACCTCTGTAGTGAAAAGAGTAACCAAGGAAGGACTGTGGCCCCATTCTGGGAGGAATCTTTCCATCTGTATCTGCTGACTGTCAGTACAGCCTTCTGGCATTACAGAATGTGTTTGGAAGTCTTCACTCTTCGGGTGAAGATGGCAAGGGGATTGTGGCATGACCTCTGCAAGCGGGCTTGTTAAATCTGGGGAAAGGGCAGGGTCCAAGAGCAGCCCTAGCAGCTGCTTGGAGGAGGATTATGAAGCAAAGTCTCTGTGGTGGCTGCAGGCATGGCAGCAGCTGCAGGTTGCAGCTAAGGAAGCTCAGGAGGAGGAGCTTCCTGTTGCACAAACAGAAAGAAGATGAGAATTCTGTTTGACGGCAACAAACTGAAGTTCTCACATTTCTTTTTATGTGAAGGCAGAGCAGCTAATGCACCGCAATGTAGCTGATCAGCCCATGTGCACGGCTACTTGGCAAACTAGGAGCCCAGACGTAAATTCCAACTCTGCAAGCCGTGTCACGTTGCTGAGCTATCAGACCACTTCTTCTGACCTGCTGGTTTTGATTGGAAATGCCATCTTGGTTCTTGAAGTGTTACCTCAAAAACAACACATTTCCATAAGTAATTTTTTATGCAATACACTGACTGTTGCTATAAAACAGGTTTTGTTGTAAGATCCCGTAAGTGCTGTGCTTTAATACATGTTCAAATTAGCTCAGTAAGAAGAGGGTGATTGGAAAGCTGCTGCACTTTACTGCCTTGGCTGCTCAGGTGGAGAGTGCTTCTAAGTCTTCCTTTGGATTTAGTGTCAGAAAAATCAGATTATCTCTGAATGCTTTTCAGAACCAGGAGTCTTTGGCTGCTACCCATGATGTGTATTGCTGGAAGGGACTCTGTGCAAATTTCCCATGTTAATATGAATTTTGCTTCCTGAATTCAGTCTTAAGCTATAGGAAGTAGTCTTAGCCACTGAGATGCTTTCAGTTGCACCTGTTGTGTTGCCTGTGGCAAGGGGGTGCAGAAGGAGTAGAAGAGGAATGCATACATAAGAAACATGAAAAGAACAATCATTTGGTTTGAACTGCAATCCCCCCTGGAGCTGGGTAGTATTAAGCAAAATGTTTCATGCAACTTTTTGTAACAATTACAGAGGAATGTAACAAGCTCATTAAGGTTATCAGGGATAATTGCTGCCATCAGGAGGCATCCGTTTCTTAATGAGCGGCTCAATTCCTCCTCCAGTAAAGGGGAAGATGAAATAATTAATTCCACTACAGATTTCTTTGCACCCAAATAACTAATTCTGCTAATTCTGGTCCAGAAGAGGTTGCTTAAACGAATAGCTATAAAGGCATCTAATAGTTTTGAGCAATATTATTTTGAATTTCTTGCCTCATGCCAGGAAGTTCTATTAGCAGGTTCAGGAGCTTTGTCGAGCTCTCTGAAACTGTTACGTTTTTTTTCTGAGAATCTTCAAAAACTGTAGGAATAGTTAAGATTGCAAAGGGAAAAAATGAAAGTAGTGGTGTAAAATAGGAGATGCTCGCACAGTTCACTAGTAGGGCTGATTATAGAGGGAGGGAGGAAATCATAGGCAGGGCAAAGCTTTCAGCATGGATTTCTATCCTAGTGTGAATGCTATGTAAACTTAGGAGGTTCAGCATTTTCCAAGGAGAGACTTGTCCTCTGCTGTTCCCTTTCTAAGCAGCCTGGTGGCATCTTAGGCATGCACTGGGAGCTGGAGGGACTGAGTATGAAGCTGCACAGGACACCTTGACCAAGTCTGCCTTGTTTGTCCCCAGTTTCCATCCTGAAGCCAAGGTGCATTTTATGAAAGTTTATAGGTACTATGTAAGGGAGCATTGAACTGTCCCAGCCTAGCCCCTCCTGTGGCTGAGACCTGTGTGACTTGCACAGTGTTGGGATGGAATGCAGTGGAGCAGCTCCGTGGGACTCTGGTAAGTGAGGCTGGTCCATGTGGTGCTCCCTTCCTGCCAGAAGGGATTTGAACTGGACAGACTGGTTTTTGTGGTGGTGGGTGGGGCCTTGTTTTCTAGCATTTGCTCTTATCCTTTCCAGCCCTGGGCAATGCCTGCTGCTTGTTTTTCCTAGTTGATGAATCACTCCCATTGTTTGTCCTCTCTGCATGCTTGCTGTGAGCTATAGGTGGGACAGATGCAGGGTGTTATGTCTGTGTCACCATGGCCACGTTCTGATTGCAGCTCTTCTTTCCCTGCCCTATCCTGCTGTTGGATCCTCATGTCCTCATAGCAGCACTGAAGCTCATCACTGGTGCAGGGGCACAAGTGCACCCAGTGCTGACAGCCTAGCATTGCTGCTCCCTTTATCTATGTGCTGGTGATCCTACAGAAGTGCCACTCTGTGCTTGCCTGATAAAAAGCCTGCCTTGTTGCTGTGGGTTGCATGCTGAGCGCCTCATTTCTTCCACAGTGTCTGCTTTACTTTGTTTCTTATTGCTTGCTTAAATCCTGGCAGCACATCCCCTCAAATGCTCTTGAATTTGGGCTGGTACCTGGGAGAGGCAGGGTGCTCAGGGTCACAGCTGTCTCAAAGCTAGACCTACAGCTTGCTGCTTAAGCAGTCATAGGGTGGGTGCTGCAGTGAGACATCAGCACCCTGCAAGGAGCTGCTGGGGTTCCTGGCTCTGACTTGTGGTTTTTGCTCAGCACGGCTTTGTGCTTTCATTCGTGTGAAGGTGTTACACCACGCCGTGTATGAAATGGCAGAGCACACGAGCCGGATGTCAACAATGAGAACAGAACCTTGCAGAAGAGTAAAAAGAAAAAAAAAAAGCTCTATAACTTTTCCGCTACTCTTCTCAGACGGTGACAGAGCTGTGGGAACATGTTTGCTGCTCGATGCTCACAGGAACAAAGCAGCGTGATGGCAGTGCTGCTGAGCAAGTGGAAAACAATCTCACTGCTGCCCTGTGTCTCCAGCATCATGGAAACCCATAGAATTGTGAAGGTTGGAAAGTCCACTAAGATCATCTTATCCAAACATCAACTAATCCCCACTAACCATGTCCAACAGTGCCATATCCTCCATGTTTCTTGAACACCTCCAGGGACGGTGACTCCATCACCTCCCCGGGCAGCCTGTTTCAAAGCATCGCCATCCTTTTAGAGAAGAAGCGTTTCCTAATATCCAACCTGAACCTCCCCCAGGACAACTTGAGGCCTGTTCCCGCTGTCCTATTACTATTACCTTGGAAAAGAGGCCAACCCCCACCTCTCCACTGCCTCCCTTCAGGTAGTTATAGTGAGCAATAAGTCTCCCCTGAGCCTCCTCTTCTCCAGACTGAACAGTCCCAGCTCCCTTAGCTGCTCCTCATAAGATGCTCCTCATAAGACTTTGGATGCCTAACCAAGGTAGTATTGTTCTTGTTGAAATGCTGAGCTCAGGGATTAGTGAGAGGCTCTTATATGGCCTTTATTCTGGCTTTCTCCCTGCTTTTCCTCGCTGAGCAGGCTTCTGAATGGTCAGGCCCACGTGCCAACCTGTCAAATTAGAGATCAGCTGTCTTGATCTTACTACCACTGGTATTTTGTATGAGAGAGCTTATTAGTGAAGTCCTCAGAGGACTGAGTATTCTATAAATAACAACAGGAAACGACACTAGTTTCAAAAGTTAAGGGGTTTTTAACTAGTCCAGTAAGTAATTGTCTTGTACACCTACAAAAATATTAGTTTTATCTTTGTATAGATCAAAAGAACAACTTTGAAGCACTTACCAGGCACATGCTGTCATGGATTTTAATAAGTATCAGACCAAATATATCTGTACAGTAATAGGATTGACTTGCTGATTTCAAATTCCTCCATGTATTCTTGCAGTGCGTAAAGCCTAATGACTGCTTTGTTTTTTTGTTTTTTTAATTACTACTACTGTGGACCCAAGGTTGCCCCAAACACACTGCAGATGTTAAGAGAAGAGATGAAACGTCTGAAAGCCAGAGGTCTGAGAGAGAGCCTGATGAGGATACATTTCATGGTGGGGAGAGAGCCTGAGGAGCTGCACGTGTCTCTTACCTAAGCTAATTATGTCAGCACCCTCCCAGTCCCCCAAAATGTTTGGGTCAACACACGTAATTACGGGTATCTGTTTTACCTTCCTGAAGGAGATGAGAAGTAAGACCATAGCATGCCTGGCTTAAGTTGGTACAAGTTGGCTCTGAGCTCTAATGTGGCATCTTGTACAGGTTGTGTTGATTGTCACGTTGCTGTGATGGAAACCATAGTGCTGCACTTGAGCTGTTTTTCCCAAGCATTCTGGGATGCAGATATTTTAG